TGGTTTTCTTTAGAGATCTCTAAGGGGGTTAAACATTTGTTTATAATTATGTTAAGCCATCTTGCAATATGTTTGCTATTGCTTTTACGTCTTTGATGGTTTTCTATGTGTACTACAAAAATATAAAAAACAAAGCTGGCAATTACTGAAATTAAAAATGCTTCAAATGCCAATCCTACTTTATATAATATTTTGTATGGTGCTGGATACTTGTCTAATATGTTGTATTTAAATAATAATGTTACAATTGAAGCCATTGCTAAAACATAAGCTGTGCTTGGCATCGTTACAAAGAAGATACGCAATTCAGTGATTGCGTTCAGGAAAATTTTCTTGTAGTTCATTTGAAACCCTCGAATGTGATTTCTTTTTATTATTAATTTTATTTTTTCTTTCGGTCAATCAGTTTTTACTGCTTATAAGTTACTTTCCTCTTCTCGCCGCTCACTCATCCGTATACGCCACCATCAGTCATATAGCACGGGCTTCGGTTCGCGCAGCGTAAGTGCCTGGGGGCGTTCTTTTCCGGTAGCCCCAGGCGCACTGTTCCCTTTCCCATCTTCTCTTGTAGCGCGTTCATGGTGTCTGGCTGAAAGTGCCTTTCCATAACTCTTGCTATAAGCTGGTAATTTTTACAGTATTGCACTTAGGGACGCGATGCATCGCATCGCTGTAGGGGAGCTAGCACAGGGCATGGATTATGCGCGTGAATTACTTGGGGCCTGCGGTGATGGGAGTGGAGCACCCCGCGATAGCAGAGATGGATAAGCGGCGGTTTTCGCCTAGCTGTTTTCTGGTGGAAATCAGCGATGAGGCCCACCCAGGTGGGTTATGGATGGAAGGCGATGTGCTGGTGGTGGATGAAGCCCGCTCGTTTGGCCATGCGGATCTGGTGGTGGCTGAGGTAGAAGGGGAATACCGGCTATTTAAATCTCACCGCGTGGGTAGCCGTTGCCGTTTGTTGCCTGCCAACGGTGGTGAAGGGTGCTTTATCACGCCCAAGCAGTATAAAGGCGTGGTGGTGAGGCAAGCGCGATGCTGGGCGGTGTAAGAGATCTCTTACAAATTGTGTCGGCAATGGTATGCCCCCAGCCACGGGTGGCTGGAGGGGCGTAACTTTTCTTTCAAATTTGTTTTGCATTCCACGCGTGTGCTAAGTTTCATTTGACTATATCTACACGGTGCACCTTGTTCAGGAGGTGAAATGAGCAAAATTTTAGAAATTAACTCATATCAACGGACTAGTGAAGTCTTGGATCTTGTAGGTGTTGATGAACCTATCGCAGTTAATGCTGATAATTTTGTTTCTTTAATTGGTGATTATCATTTAACTGATTCGGAGCCTCCTCTCCAGTGCTGTTGCGAGAAGAAACAGAAAAAACTGTGTGGTCAAAATCACAGAAATGGATATGTAGTTGAGCTGAAGAACAATTCTAAATCTCTACTGGGTAGTACCTGCGTTAAAGACTTTGACTCTGACGGTGAGCTAAAGAGATCAGTAAGTCACTATGATAACAAGAAGAGATATTTAGAGAGAGTCGGATATATAAATGATTGTTATTATGATAAGGATAAGATTTTAAAAAAATTATCTATAGAAAGTAGTGCCTTAAGTGAAGTTAATCAGTTTGTTTCCAGTTTAGTAAAATCACTGCCTCCTAGAGTACTATTTAAACTTCAGGATATGGCTAAAATAGGGAAGATAGCGATAACAGTTGATGTTAGAAAAGTAGTTGAAGGTAAAAATAAAGAAACAGGAGACATTGAAAGAGATGTGGACGTGTTTGCTCACACTGTTGGAGAAGCTCTTGGTGTGAATCTGTTTAGCCATGAGTATAGATTAAAGCTAATGTCAGAATTGAAAAGAAAAATTGATCTATTAAATGGTTTGGAATATTTCAAGCATGACACTGGGCCAAGAGTTGTGGCTAGAGTTTATAAAGAGCTATTAGATGTCAGTGCGGTTTGTGAGCAGGCTAGGGCTTTTTGTTCGCAAAAAGTTTTTTTTGAAAATGCAGATAGAAAGTGCTTTATTTACTTAACCTCCGATCAAAAAGAAAGAATTAAGTTATACCGGATGTGGTACTTGGAAAAATTCAAAGAGCCAATATCAACATCAAGAGCGGAGCGGGAAATATCGATTATTGACTCTGAAATAATTAACAAGTTTGGAGCGACTAATTTGATTATAGCCGCTTAATAGCTTCGTCCAGGGCGTCGTCTTTTGTGGCGTAGGTGTTTAGGCAAGCCAATTGTTGGGCGGTGTAAGACATTTTTTACAAACGAATGGCAAATTGCTTGCA